ACCGACTTCCATTGAGAGATCCGGACCGATTGAGACCATGGCTAGTTGCCCTGAACATTGATGCCAATACTCCGATTGACGACCTCAGAAAGTTACTAGTATGCTCAGAACATTTGTACCGGGGGACTATTATGAGAGAATCGAACTGTAAAGCAGTTTGATTAAAAGTTATCTGTCCCATCAGTGGGCATTCTACGCACAACATGTAGGCTAGTCATAGGAAATCTTCAGCCATGTGTTTATTAGTTCCAGGGGCGCCTTGAGTGTTGGATCTGTCGTAGATGTATACTTCAGCTTGTATGAATTTGAGCATGAGACAGTTTTTGATACAATACAGAAGCCCTAGGATGGCTGGGACTGGCCGCTACCCATTGTGAGAGCACCCAACGTACTTGCCTTATTTAAGAGACGTTTGTTTTTATATATATAATATCAAAATGTGTAGTTTTGAAATGACACACAGCTTTCTCTAACTGAAAAACAATATTTTTTATTGAACTCCTTGGCAGGCTGTAAAAGAACTGAGGAATTAGAACCAGCACCGTTTAGACAGGACCTCTCATCCAAATACTGAATATGTTTCAAATACACACGTAAGCTATACCAGCATGGACATTTGATCGAATAAACTCATCCAGACAAGAAGAAAAGATATACATCTGAGTGTGCTGTCTTCTTTATTTAATCATTTAAGTCCTGCATGGGATTTTGGGAGTGTTTCTTCTAGACAGGAAGCAGAGGCCTCTACCTCCAATCAGCATCCAGGGCTGCCTACACTACCATTTCATGTAATCTTTTGTACATAAAATGAGAGAAACCAAAACATTTGATTCAGTCCAAATTGCTTCTACTTTTTCTTAGTTTTCGGTTTACGTATTTTAGCAGGATTGGGAATGATCTTTTTCACTTTAAGAGGCTGAAGTACGCAGGATGGAGATTCTGTCATGTCTGGAGAAATGTCTTCAATTTTCCGTTTTTGGCCCCTTGTCTCCTCTCCCTTTTCCACCACCATTTGCCCCTCTTCAGCTGTTTCCCCTTCTACCTGCCCCTCAACTGTTGCACCTGTGTCACTGGGAGGGCTTTGTATCCAGGCAACCTGCAGAGCAGGCACTCTAGGTAGGATGGCTTCCACAGTGTCGGAGAATGTTCCATCCTCGTTCCCTTCCCCTTGTCTGAATCCCAGTGCCAGGACGCACTTCAGCCCCAGCAGTCCCGCCACACTCTCACTGAGACACGGCACCTGGCATGCCGCCACGCCTCGCGTCCGGCACAGCGCTATCAGGTGGCTCGTCATGTGAGGCGGTTTGACCGACTTGCACACGAGCACCAGCCGGAGCTGGTTCCTCTCCAGAGCCTTGGTGACCTCATTGATGCCGATGGCCAGCTGCCTCCTAGCGGCTACATCAGTCCAGCCTTGCTCTGTGGGTTTAACAGGACATTCCGGTGTTACAGTGTCGAGGGGTATCTGTGGGGGCTCGGCTACAGAGTCATGTCCTGTAGGCAGTTTCTTATTTCTCTTTTTCCCCCACTGTCGAAACCCTTTCACCTCTTTCTTTTCCAGGCCAGTTGCTGACAGTTTGCTCTTCAGAGTGTCCAGGATGAAGTGTACGTCATCTCTCTGCAGCGGACTCCATTGCAGGCTGTAGGGGGAGTTCAGGGACGTCTTAGCTGGGATCTGCTTCTTCCGCTCCTTTTTCGACACTCTGCCTGGAGTGGCCATCTTTATCTGGAGTGAAGACAGGAGGAATTCACATGAGCTGCTGACTCAACCCTCATGTTATCAAATGTACCTGCAGGGTAGCATAGAAATATAATCTATTCTATTGTTCTAGTTCTGTGGGGTTGACTCCTTGAATGTTAATGCGCAGTAGTGATTGAGGGATGACGCTGGGGCGGGGCTTAAACCCTGTAAACGCAGTACAACCTGTGCCATAAAAACTAACGCTTAAAAACTAACACGACAGCCTTTGGCTATGAGGGTAGATGAGAAAGTGTTGGGGTTAGGTGCAGATCTAGAATCAGATTACACTGTCTGATCAAAGTAAAATAAAGGCTCTGTACTGTGGTCCTCCAACCTGTAAGTAAAGGTAGTAAGTTTGCCCTGTAACAATGTTTCCCCCTCAATCACTACTACACATCACTTGCCCACTTAGCTAGCTAGTTAGCTAACTAGTTACTCAGCGACAGACCCATTTCCCAGGATGTACAGAGATATAGCGAGTAGTTTTAACAAGTTGGCAAACAAACCTAAATTAAACATATCAAGCTGACAAACTGCCATAGTTATTTATATACCCACAGCCGTCACTTTTTTACCTCAATTATATTTTTTTAAGCAGTTGTAGGTCAGTGCACACCAGTACTAATGCTGTGTCCATGGGCGCAGCCATATTGTATGACCGTGGCTGATGACGTTTCAACAGAGCCACGCCCCTTAAAACGCGCATTGAGCTCATCTTTTTGAGCGCGTGCAAAAGGCCACCAGACAATCTTCTAATATTATATTTACAATTTACTAAGAAAAACCAAAGCCACTTAATAACACTAGCTACAAACCATATGACCCACTGGATGCTACCAAGCCTTTAGTCACCTGAATCAGACCCTCAGATGCACAAATCTCTGAATCATAGGAACCACAGACTGCTGAATTAGAACCACAGACTGCTGAGCTCCAGTAGGATGGTAGCCTACCATCGCTCATCTTCCATCAATCACTGTTTCTACACCCAAATTACACACACAATAATGTTTACCTAACACTCTCCAAATACTAAACATGCCACAAATTCAATGCAAGTGAATAGGCCCTATATATCATTGAGCTACACAATCAATTTAATACAGTATGATTTGGACATGAAACGCGAAAAATCGAATATTGGCTTGCATTGATGCGAGTGTCCTTTAAGTCCTATTTTGTTTTAACGTCCTTTACGCGCCGAGTCTCAGTATGTTAGGTCAGCCAATCAGCTGTTTCTATCCACCCCACTGCGGTCCCGACTCCGGAGGACTTGACCGATATTTACTGTAAGCTCCCAGTCTGTTACAGCTGCAGACTGCAGTCAGAGCTATTCACACAGCCGAGAGGACACTTTGGTCTTTAATACTACCAACAGTAGCCTACGGAGTTGAACTTGGCGAGATGTCTCTACAGGTAGGCTATGTTTTCCCTGCACCCTTGGCGTACACATATTCTATCTAAGTGATGCGTCGATCTAGATAACGGGTTTAGGCCTACGTTTTTATAAGAGATGTGGTTGAATGATGTGGTAGCTGGTGGTAGGTAGGCTTGTACATACAGACTACGTTTACCGTTATGTTCTCTATTTACTGAGTCATGCCTGTGTATTGTTTTAAATGCGTAAGAAATTTAGAGCTTGATTGGCTAGCCATCTCGGAATTGTGCGCAAGGATGCTGAGGTGTATTGGATACCAGCTGCCGTCATCAAAATGCGGTTGCAGACTAAGTATGCAGCGCAGTCATGCTTCCAAGACCAATAATAGCTAGGCGACTGTAGCCTATTAGAATTAAACATTGCATGTACTACTTATTATATTAAGTAATAATTAGCATATTTCCCATGGTGCCTTTTATTTTCGAGTGAATTGTAGAGAGTTACCACCCTTGACTCTATTTGTTAGTGACAGAGACATGTTTGTTGAATTATTTCCTTTTAAAGGCCTGTGGCTTTCACCAAATAAGTACCTAGGTGAATGTTATCATTACAATTTTACTTGACAATACATTACATATATCATAAGGCCTTACTTTGATGGCCTAGTTTTACCCTAACACAGTGGTGTTAGGAAACTCCTGGTTTACAGGCCACATCAGGCCTGCAAGTCACATTATTGTGGCTTGCAAAGTGATGTGTAGTTCTTATTGTAATCCAGCAAAAGTTAGGATATCCAACAGTAGGAATTTTTATTCACTCGCAACCTACATTCAGAATGACTGTCAGGGTTAGGAAACTTGATTAAAAAAAGCCTACCTAAACCATTTGAACAGGAACAACCATTTCAGTAACGGGGGCAATAAATCTAACCAACTGATTGTATTAAAAACCTAGAGTCACAGGTCCAATGCATATACAGGTGCGTCAAGCTTGTAGCATCATACCCAAGAAGACTTGAGGCTGTAATCGCTGCCAAAGGTGCTTCAACAAAGTACTGAGTAAAGGGTCTGAATAGTTATGAAAATGACATATATTTTTTTTTTTATACATTTGCTAAAATTTCTACAAACTTGTTTTCACTTTGTCATTATGGGGTATTGTGTGTAGATTGATGAGGAAAACATTTATTTAATCAATTTTAGAATAAGGCTGTAACTTAACAAAATGTGGAAAAAGTGAAGGGGTCTGAATACTTTCTGAATGCACTGTACACCCCTTATTTTTATTTTGGTTGTACATTCATTTGATCTGACTACAGTGTAAATTGGCCCAAAACCAACCAGAAGAAAGTTGAAACCAACCAGATGATCTTACAGTGTCAACTTCCTTCTGGTTGGTTACACTGTAGTCAGATAGAATGAATGTACAACCAAAATAATAAGAGGTTTATGCATTGGGCCTGTAATCTGGGTCCTGGGTGAATAAAAACACAAATGCTTAATAAATACTTCAAAAAGTATATTTGTTTAATTAAAACTGCATGTGGAACAGAAATTAGTTAGTGGGTTTCCTTTCTGATTAGATGAATGTGCCCATTGTCCCATTCAGCCCTGCTGTTTTTTGTGCATTGTCCCAGATTGAGATCTGTGTAAAGTAGATTATTCAAGCAAACAAAATGGCATTCACAGCTCTGAATGGAATAAGGACCCAATGTTTGGCTGCTCAGTAGTGGCAGTAATAGGCTGTAGTGCTGTAGATTATGTTACATTCTGGAGTTTCTATGCTGTATTGTTTCCCCATTTTTTCACCCTTTATCTCCGTGCATATTTACCCCTACACCCTCCTGTCCCTTTCCCTCTGTTCTTCCATCTCTCTGTGCAGGCAGAGTTTGAGCGAGTAGCAGATGATGTGAAGAAGGTGAAGTCCAGACCTTCAGACCAGGAGCTGCTGGACGTGTATGGTCTGTATAAGCAGGCCATATTTGGAGACATCAACATTGGTACGGAATTTTCTTTGTGCCAATTAAAACATGCTAATTTAAATACATAACCGTACAGAACATATACAAGCTAAGTGACCATTAAAATGATATGGAGAGAATAACAATGATTTCAGCAAATTCTGGGTGGATATGATGCTCATCTCCCGGATATCAGATAACTGCTTTCCAAAATGGCCATATCAGATACCCACACTGGTACTGGTAGGCCAATAGAACTTAAAGCCTGACCTTCAATCTTTCCTGGTTCCTCTCAAGTTCTCTTAGTCTTTTTCTTTGAACTTTGAACTTACCAGTCCCCACTGATGTCCTAAATACTGTCTTCTCTTGTTCTCCACAGACAAACCAGGCATGTTAGACATGAAAGGAAAAGCCAAGTGGGAGGCCTGGGATTCTAGGAAAGGTAAAAAAAAAGATTTAGCCTTCTCTCAGAATGGAAAAAATGAATACCCTCCACACTAGCCCTCTATCCTCCACCCTTGTTTCAGTCTTTGGAACATTCTAATCCAGTGATGAACATTTTGTGAATAAAATGCTACAGTAAGGGGTAATGATAACCCTTATCTAGAGATTGTTCTTGGCATTGAAGGCTGCAATCACCATTCACCAATACGTTTAATTGAAAATAAAATAATGTAGACGGGGGGGGAGAGTGTTTTTTGTGTGAGTGAGTGAGTGAGTGAGTGAGTGAGTGAGTGAGTGAGTGAGTGAGTGAGTGAGTGAGAGAGAGTGTGTGTATGTGTGATGATGTTGCTCTAATGTTGTATTTGCGTTCTTATTTTATAGGTATGTCCAAGGAGGATGCCATGACAGCTTACATCGCACTTGCTAAGGAGATCATCAGCAAATACTAATATGATGATGAAATCGTGTCCAGGGTGTGACTAGAATAGGTTTTTATTTTATTTTATTTCACCTTTATTTAACCAGGTAAGCCAGTTGAGAACAAGATAGGGAGGGGGTTGATCCATTTGAGCTGTTTAAGAGACGTCTGGCTATTTTATTTTATTTTTTTATTTAACCAGGTAAGCCAGTTGAGAATAAGTTCTTATTTACAACTGCGACCTGGCCAAGATAAAGCAAAGCAGTGCGATAAAAACAACAACACAGAGTTACATATGGGGTAAAACAAAACATAAAGTCAAAAATACAACAGAAAATATATATACAGTGTCTGCAAATGTAGCAAGTTATGGAGGTAAGGCAATAAATTGGCCATAGTGCAAAATAATTACAATTAGTACTAACACTGGAATGATAGATGTGCAAGAGATGATGTGCAAATAGAGATACTGGGGTGCAAATGAGCCAAATAAATAACAATATGGGGATGAGGTAGTTGGGTGGGCTAATTTCAGATGGGCTGTGCACAGGTGCAGTGATCGGTAAGGTGCTCTGACAACTGATGCTTAAAGTTAGTGAGGGAGATAAGAGTCTCCAGCTTCAGAGATTTTTGCAGTTCGTTCCAGTCATTGGCAGCAGAGAACTGGAAGGAATGGCGGGCAAAGGAGGTGTTGGCTTTTGGGATGACCAGTGAGATATACCTGCTGGACATCATTGTCCATCATTGATATACACAGAGAACAGAGTCGGCCCAAGAATTGAACCCTGTGGCACCCCCATAGAGACTGCCATAGGTCCAGACAACAGGCCCTCCGATTCGACACATTAAACTCTATCTGAGAAGTAGTTGGTGAACCAGGCGAGGCAGTCATTTGAGAAACCAAGGCTATTTAGTCTGCCAATAAGAATGCGGTTGTTGACAGAGTCGAAAACCTTGGCCAGGTCGATGAAGACGGCTGCACAGTACTGTCTATTATCGATTGCGGTTATAATATCGTTTAGGACCTTGAGCGTGGCTGAGGTACACCCATGACCAGCTCAGAAACCGGATAGGTTATTATGAGGAGAGCTGTATCTCATTCAGCCATATGCCATAGGTTATGAGAAACTACTGCACTAGGAAAATGAATCAGTTTTTCTCCTTAGATTTAACTTTCTTGACTTTTAACATTTGCACTTTTTTATTTGATATTAACCCCTATGCACTTTTTGGATGTTGAATTTATGATTTAATAAAACTTTGTTTTAAATTACACTCAGTCTATTTTATTTGTAGATATATGATGATTAACAAGGGCAATATTCAATATTTTCTTTGTTCTTGTCTTACCTCTAAAGATGACACACACACTATTGAGATATCAACACTGAAAGTGATTCATTAACAATGCAAAAGCTCACTAAGCAAGAGAACATAATGAACAGTGTTTCCCATAACATTACTTCATCGAATAAATAAATAATGAGTTTTTAAAGGGTAGCTCTCTCTCACTCTCTCACATTCACTCAATCAGACAAGGAAGGTCCCCACCACCCCTTATAGCTCTGAGGCCTTATAAATATATCTGGTATTAAACCCTGTTGGCCACCACAAGACTTGCAGGGCTCGTTTGCAGCCTAGATTGAAAATAACAGTCATTATTTTCAGCCTAGGTTGCAGCTAGGAACTTTAATCATTTACTTGGTTGCTTGTGAATCACATTTCTGGAACGGACTTCTGCTTCACTTCCTGTTTATGTTCTTCGTAGCAGAGACGGTATGGAAAGCCAATTCTCCATTATCTCTGTTGTAGCTAGCTGGTATGCAAAGAAATATCGCTTGCTACTGAAGTTTAGTTAGCTAGCTTTAAGTCATAGAAAATATTTGGGCTATGTCATATAAATGGACATATGTTTTCTAATTCATTATTATTTTATGTAAACACATAGGTCGACAAGACGGAGCCACGGAGGACAGACAGCATGGTTGTTCAGGAGAGGGTTTTAAAACCGTCACTGTTGATTGGCCAGACAGCATCGTTGCCACTGAAGAACGTTAGCAAGTAGTGAGCTAGCTAAGTGTGCTGAGACTTGCGCGTTACATCGACGGACTTCCATCGCCTGTCCCAATACGGTTCGTGAGTGTACTGTAAAAACTTGCCATAACAAACAAAGGAAAGGGTCAGCTATAATGTTTCACCGACTTCCATTGAGAGATCCGGACCGATTGAGACCATGGCTAGTTGCCCTGAACATTGATGCCAATACTCCGACTGACGACCTCAGAAAGTTACTAGAATGCTCAGAACATTTGTACCGGGGGACTATTATGAGAGAATCGAACTGTAAAGCAGTTTGATTAAAAGTTATCTGTCCCATCAGTGGGCATTCTACGCACAACATGTAGGCTAGCCATAGGAAATATTTGGCCAAGTCATATAAATGGACATATGTTTTCTAATTATTTATTATTGTGTGTAAACACACAGGTCAAGAGGGAGCCATGGAGGACAGACATCATGGTTGGTCGTAAATGTGCCCTTGAGCAAGGCACCTAACCCTAATTGCTCCTGTAAGTCGCTCTGGATAAGAGCGTCTGCTAAATGACTAAAATGTAAATGTAAATGTAAAATGGTCAGGAGAGGGTATTAACACAGTCACTGTTGATTGGCCAGACATCAGCAGTGCCACTGAAGAATGTTGTCCATCCATTGAGGAGGACCAGTGCGTGAACATTCAGCCCAGAAGCTCAGATGAGTCGAACCACAGAAAACAGGTGATGCAGACACTGCACCCAACAGGGAGGAGAGGGCTCTATCCCTAGAGGAGGAGGAGGAAGGAGAGGAGAGCCAGATGAAGGGACTTCCCAGCAGAGAGGAGCGGCAGGCTACTGCTGAGTGGGAACCCTCAGTGGAGCCGGAGGTGACTTTAGAGTCTGACTCCTGTGAGGAGCCTGAAGACCATCCTTCTCCGGGGGACAGAGTGAGAGAGAAGACAGAGGAGAGGAGACTGAGGCAAGTAAGACTTGTGGAGTGGTGCACTGACTGTGGGTCAGAACCTACACTCACCTGCACTACACGGCGACACAAGAAGCTGTATGTGTGCGGTGTGTGGGAGGTGTGGATGTTGGTGTGCGTGATTGCCAGTCTGAGGAGCCTGTTGGGTTTGACAGACTCAGCATTTTTTTATTTTTTTATTTCACCTTTATTTAACCAGGTAAGCCAGTTGAGAACAAGATATCATTTACAACTGCGACCTGGCCAAGATAAAGCAAAGCAGTGCGATTAAAAACAACACACAGAGTTACATATGTGGTAAACAAAACATAAAGTAAAAAATACAACAGAAAATGCGGTTCAACAACCTAGAAAGTTATGAGGACCAGGTCCGTCGAGAGCACTCCAAACGTTCACAGTTTCTCTGCCCTGACTGGCATCCTCATCTCAACTTTACTCAGTGTGGAGCATCAGTGTGAACACAAGTTCAAGCTGTTCTGTCTGTGGGAAGCACTGCGTGGATGAAGCTGGCCTCAAGCATCACCAGAGGCTCCACCGTCAGGAGCATGTCTACTCCTGTAAGTTCTGCCTAAAGCCATTCAAGGCCCTGGAAGACAAGTGGACCCATGAGAAGAACGACCACCGAGTCAAAAGGTTGCACTATAGGTGCTCCGAATGCCCCCAGGGATTTTACAACATCTTGAAACGGAACCGCCATCTCAGAGAGCACGAGTCCAAGAGACACATTTGTCACACGTGCTACAAGGAATTCCCCCAACTTAGCAAGCTTGAGAGGCACGAGCTGAGCCACAGTGACAACAAATCTTTCAGGTTGGTGCTTTATACTGCCTTCTCTGTTAGTTTGATACTGAACACATATCCCTCTGTTGAAATGTCTGTTTTGTTTGTATTACCAGCTGAGTGTGGACTGTAAAGCGTTGACATGTTTTCCATTACGTGCTGCTCCTGCTAGGTGCCAGGTGTGCCAGCGTTCCTTTGCCCAGGCCAGCCAGCTGAAGTCTCACCTGCGCATCCACACTGGGGAGAGGCCCTTCAAATGCCAGCGCTGCGACAAGAGCTTCAACCACAACGTCAGCCTCAAGAACCACGTCACACGCTACCACCAAGGGGAGAGTGGGGAGGCAGACGCTTGGACACCACAAGAGAGTGGGGAGGGAGTGGAGGTGGGAGAGCGGAGGAGCAGGCGACAGAGAAATTGACAGTGGAACTATGACCCTGAGGAGGAGGAGGAGCGTCAGAATGAGAGTGACTCTTGACTTTGACTTAGAGGAAGAGGAGAAGAAAGGGAGGGGTAGAGGGAAAGGTAGTGGAGGAGGGGGGCACTGGCAGAAGCCTCCAGGAGAAATACATGTGGACACTGCTGTTGAACAGCTGGATACATCATCATCATCACCACCTCAGAGAGAACCATACCAAAACCAGGAGCCACCTAACGGTGTCATTAAAATAAATCTGTTATCGGTTTTGTCATGTTGACCATAATGTTTTGGCTTTGAACATTTCTTAGAACTCTTGAGGCTGTTTTTTTTTCACTTCTACAGTTTTGGTAAAAAATATATAAATGTTGTTAAAGAAAATGTGTTTCACTGTTCTACATCATCAAATGTCCAGGAAAAATCTGACGGGTTTGTGAAGTGAACACGTTACAAAGAATTTCCTCACCACAGACGTTATTGGCTGATATATTGCGTTTTGAGTTCTCCTGGCAGGACCGGCCCACTAGTTAAGAAGCATAGAGATAGACTCATCTTGGATATAACCAGAGAGGAAGCAAGAGGCTTGACTGATCTAAAATCAGTGCGAAATACAGCATTAACCAGTGGAAGTGGGGAGTTTTTGTATGGAGGTCAATGAGAGTTCCCTGTAGCTCAGTTGGTAGAGCATGGCGCTTGCAACGCCAGGGTTGTGGGTTTGTTTCCCACGGGGGGCCAGTATGAAAATGTATGCACTCACTAAATGTAAGTCGCTCTGGATAAGAGCGTCTGCTAAATGACTAAAATGTAAATGTTAATGTCGAATTTGGTCAACATAAAATGAAATTGCTAATTGCTACGTAAGGCTTATTTGATCGAATTGAAGTTTCTTAAGTCTCCCGAGTGGCGCAGTAGTCTAAGGCACTGCATCGCTGTGCCACTAGATCCTGGTTCGAATCCAGGCTCTGTCGTAGCCGGCCGCGACCGGGAGACCCATGGGGCGGCGCACAATTGGCCCAGGGTATGGGAGGGAATGGCCGGCAGGGATGTAGCTCAGTTGGTAGAGCATGGCGTTTGCAACACCAGTGTTGTGGGTTCGATTCCCACAGGGTGCCAGTATGAAAAAATTAAAAAAATAATAATGTATGCACTCACTTAACTCTAAGTCGCTCTGGATAAGAGCGTCTGCTAAATTACTAAAACGTAAAAAAAAAAAAGTATATGTTATGAATGCACTGATATAAGTGGGCGCACGTGGCATTTCGGAAACTTCGAGAAAAACAATTTTATAATGGAGTTGTGCTTGTTCACACACGTCTCTTAAATCCGTTCTACCTAATTTCTACCAGCATGTTACATGTGCAACCAGAGGAAATAAAAACTAGACCACCTTTACTCCACACACAGAGACGCATACAAAGCTCTCCCTCGCCCTCCATTTGGCAAATCTGACCATAAATCTATCCTCCTGATTCAGCACCAGTGACTCGGTTAATAAAAAAGTGGTCAGATGACGCAGATGCTAAGCTACAGGACTGTTTTGCTAGCACAGACTGGAATATGTTCCGGGATTCTTCAGATAGCATTGAGGAGTACGCCACATCAGTCACTGGCTTCATCAATAAGTGCATCGATGACGTCGTCCCCACAGTGACCGTACGTACATACCCTAACCAGAAGCCATGGATTACAGGCAACATCCGCACTGAGCTAAAGGCTAGAGCTGCCGCTTTCAAGGAGTGGGAATCTAACCCGGATGCTTATAAGAAATCCCACTATGCCCTTCGACAAACCATCAAACAGGCAAAGAGTCAATACTCTAGTCAGGTTGTGTTTATCCCATATGTAACTCTGTGTTGTTGTTGTTTTAATTGCACTGCTTTGCTTTATCTTGGCCAGGTCGCAGTTGTAAATGAGAACTTGTTCTCAACTGGCTTACCTGGTTAAATAAAGGTTAGATAAAAAAAAAAAATCGTACTACACCGTCTCTGACGCTCGTCGGATGTGGCAGGGCTTGAAAACTATTACAGACTACAAAGGGAAGCACAGCCACGAGCTGCCCAGTGACACAAGCCTACCAGACGAGCTAAATCACTTCTATGCTCGCTTCGATGCAAGCAACACTGAAGCATGCATGAGAGCACCAGCTATTCCGGATGACTATGTGATCACGCTCTCCGTAGCCGATGTGAGTAAGACTTTTAAGCAGGTCAACATTCACAAGGCCGCAGGGCCAGACGGATTACCAGGACGTGTACTCCGAACATGCGCTGACCAACTGGCAAGTGTCTTCACTGACATTTTCAACATGTCCCTGACTGAGTCTGTAATACCAACATGTTTCAAGCAGACCACCATAGTCCCTGTGCCCAAGGACACTAAGATAACCTGCCTAAATGACTACCGACCCGTAGCACTCACGTCTGTAGCCATGAAGTGCTTTGAAAGGCTGGTCATGGCTCACATCAACACCATTATCCAAGAAACCCTAGACCCACTCCAATTTGCATACCGCCCCAACAGATCCACAGATGATGCAATCTCTATTGCACTCCACACTGCCCTTTCCCACCTGGACAAGAGGAACACCTACGTGAGAATGCTATTCATTGACTACAGCTCAGCGTTCAACACCATAGTGCCCTCAAAGCTCATCACTAAGCTAAGGATCCTGGGACTAAACACCTCCCTCTGCAACTGGATCCTGGACTTCCTGTAACAACACATCTGCCACGCTGATCCTCAACACGGGGGTCCCTCAGGGGTGCGTGCTTAGTCCCCCCCTGTACTCCCTGTTCACCCATGACTGCATGGCCAGGCACGACTCCAACACCATCATTAAGTTTGCCGACGACACAACAGTGGTAGGCCTGATCACCGACAACGATGAGACAGCCTATAGGGAGGAGGTCAGAGACCTCGCCGTGTGGTGCCAGGATAACAAACTCTCCCTCAACGCGATCAAGACAAAGGAGATGATTGTGGACTACAGGGAAAAAAAAGAGGACTGAGCACGCCCCCGTTCTCATCGACGGGCTGTAGTGGAACAGGTTGAGAGATTCAAGTTCCTTGGTGTCCACATCACCAACGAACTGTCATGGTCCAAACACACCAAGACAGTCGTGAAGAGGGCACGACAAAGCCTATTCCCCCTCAGGAGACTGAAAACATTTGGCATGGGTCCTCAGCTGTTCTACAGCTGCACCATCGAGAGCATCCTGACTGGTTGCATCACCGCCTGGTATGGCAACTGCTCTGCCTCCGACCGCAAGGCACTACAGAGGGTAGTGCGTACGGCCCAGTACATCATTGGGACCAAGCTTCCTGCCATCCAGGACCTCTATACCAGGCGGTGTCAGAGGAAGGCCCTCGAAATTGTCAAAGACTCCTGCCACCCTAGTCATAGACTGTTCTCTCTGCTACCGCACAGCAAGCGGTACCGGAGCGCCAAGTCTAGGTCCAAAAGGCTTCTCAACAGCTTCTACCCTCAAGCCATAAGACTCCTGAACAGCTAATCATGGCTACCCGGACAATTTGCACTGCCCCCCCACCCCCACCCCCTTTTTTACTCTGCTGCTACTCTGTGTATTATTTATGCATAGTCACTTTAACTCTACCCACATTTATGCATAGTCACTTTAACTCTACCCACATGTACATATTACCTCAATTACCTCGACTAGCCGGTGCCCCCGCACATTGACACTGCACCGGTACCCACCTGATAGCCTCCCTACTGTTATTTTATTTTACTGCTGCTCTGTAGTTATTTGCTTTTCTTTTTGTTGCTTAACACGTTTTATTTGTTTTACTTTGCATTGTTGGTTAGGGGCTTGTAAGTAAGCATTTCACTGTAATGTCTACACCTGTTGTATTCGGCACATGTGGCAAATACAATTTGATTTGATTTGAATCCTAAGGGTGGAGTGTTTCAGCATGATATAGATTAAGTTTAATGGGGTTGGTGAGGGGATTTTGGGGGAGGGTGTAATAGAAGTTAGGGATTTGTTTGGTTTTCAAATATTTTTTTCATGTTAGTACAGAATTGGGAAGATCATGATTGATCGTACATTCCAGCACAGTAGGTGGCGGCATGCGTTTAAACGATTGTTTGCCGACCGCCATGATATCATAAAAGAAGAAGAATACTACTCAGCTTAGTCACAGCGAAAAGGGGGTTAGTTATAAATATCTTTGGATGAGTCCTCTAAATATCCCTATATTTAGAAGTCTGTCAACATGGCTGACTCCCAGAAGCATCCATTAATTTTATACCTCAGTAATCCTGCACCACCAGAGACTGCTTCAAAGCCTAAAATAATTCGATCAGCAGCCAAGCAGCAGAACGACAAGTCCCGTGGACAGACCCGAGTAAACTTAGGTGTTGCGTTTTTACGATGGCGCGAACTAAGAGCATGGAAAAACCTGGAAAGTGACGCCGAGTTTGCATGTTTTCTCCTCGACAGGTAAGCCTCAACTTTGTCATTTTAGCTACCTGCCATATCCTACTATCATGCAGCCTATCTAGTTTGTCTCCACCACACGTGTGCGTTGTTTTGTATTTGTATCATAGCCGGAATCAACCTCAGTTTTGAGTGTAGCTCATAAATTGCAA